ACCACCAGGGCCTCCGCACAGGCACCGCAACCACCAGTCAGCGCTCGCGGATGCGCGCTTTGCATCGTGCTAGTGCTCATACCTGAACACGGACAGCTAGTTGCGCAGAGCTCTGTGCAGAGAGCTACCCTGGTCGGCCACCTACGTGTACAGCACGCACGCTCCTGTCACCAGCTGGCATCTCTTGCGCTGGACAAAGTAGGGATGATGATGCCGATGATGCTGGTGAATTGGCGATGAGCACGGCATGTTCCAGTGGCCCAATTGACGCCGTGGCGCGTCTGTTGGGTTCCCGCTGAGCGCTGCCCCAGCCCGCGCTGCACTGTCCCCGAGTACCTGTTCTGCTGCTGCTTATCTGCGACGCCGTATACCTGCGCTCCGCGTGCTTTGACATTGATCCAATGTCGCAGGACGGAGCAGATGGCAAAGGCACGCCGCAGGGACTTGCAGCTCCTAGCAGATGTCAAGCGGCATGTCGCACTTGGATGGGTGCCAGCGCTCCATACTAGGTACTGCTACAGGCACCAAGGCACAAGACTGTGTACCTGTTTGCAGTGTGCAGTGTGCAGCGTAGGTAGGGAATCTGCTGCAGTACCTGCTACCAGGAAGTGATGTACGGGGCACTGTACTGCACCTAATGTGACCAGAGTAAACGCAACTCCTCCCTGCCGCCTGGCACCTTATATCGAAGCTCTCCCTCCGGCTTCTGTCCCCTCCAGTCTCCCCTCCCACGGGCGTTGCCCTGATTACAGCTTCCCAGTGAACACATCGCCGGCCGGCATGGCGTCGTCGAGCAGCTGGATTTGCTGCCCTTGAACCCTTCCTGCCACCTAGATACAAGATACAAGATACAAGAGCCTACCTTGCCTGTCCTAAATTACGGCTACCCTGAACAACACAGTTTCTCCCATCTCCAGGGCAGGTTTCTTTTTTACTTTTGCTGTTATCTTTTGACTTTTTCTCAGCGCCCTCTCCGCTGCGCCTGCCCCCGCTCTGCTCGTGTGAAGAGAAGAAAAACGAGGAAAAGAAGAAACGAGAAGCCGTCAGCGCTCCCCTCCCCTGTGTCGCTACGTGCGCTTGGCGCTTCTCTTCTCTGCTCGCCTCGCCGTCTCTTCGCCCGGCTCGCTGCTCCCTCACTCTCTCGCTTGCCAAGTCTCTCTCCCTCACGTCTCGCTCGCGATAACGCCGCCGATCCTGTCGCTCCAGACGGCTGACGTCTTGCCCCTCCAGCAGCAACTCACTAGCAGCCCAAGCCTGGATCTTGCGCCCACCCGTGCCATAATCCTTCCGAGCTAGGCCCCAAGCACGGCCTTGCAGGGCGAGAAACGAACTAGAAGCGCCGCTAGACGCTCGCTGCTCCCCACTGCTGCGTCCGCTAGGCCCAGCGCTGCAGCGCCGGAACCAGCACGCACCACAGCAGCCACATCCCGCCACCGGCTGCAGCATCTGACCAGACCAGAAGCCATCCGGGGCTTCTGTGCTGTCCGGACAGGCCCAGAAAAGGACCCAGAAAAGCACCTGGAGCACCCAAAGTCCCCCTCTGGACCCGCCCACGACAAGAGCCACCCTTCTTGTGCGACTCCAGAAGTCGCCTTCGACTCTTCTCTGCTTGTTCCGCGACCTGCGGCGCTGTGACTTGCGTCTCTGGACCAACTACCGTTTTTTTTTTTCCTTTTCTCCTCTTACCATTCGACTCTCGTCCCAAAACCTGTCCAGATACTCACCCGGCTGTGTGAGCGCTGCAGGGAGCACCCTCTCTTCTTCTTGGCCTTCTTTTTCTTCTTCCCTTTTCAACCCGCGATCCGACGTCAGAAACTCCCTCTGATGCTCCTTACTCCGCGTCGCTCCCGACAGCATTGACTCTCTTCGACTCGTTCCTTATTCTCTTTTTTCCAACCGTTATTGGGCGCTTCTTTTTGAAAGCAAGTGTCCCGTCTTCATCGTCGTCTCGGCCGCCCTGTCGCATCACCAATCAAATCCCACAACCACACGCTTTCCCTGTGAAATTTCTCTCCCTTTCGAATCCGCGCGCGCTCGAGGCGATCCCAGCTCCAGCGTATACTCATCTGCGCACTCTTCTTCTTCCTACCTCGAGCTCTGGCTCCGACGCTGCCCGTGCTTCCTTTTACTCTGGATTCCCGACTCGCTTCGCGCTCTATCCTTGACGCTGGCTGCCCCAATTTCGAAAATCCCGAGACACTCGCCAATCCAATTGTGTCGTCGCCTCGTGTGCCCTTTTCATATAGCCTTGCGCGCGCAGTAATCCTTGCCCGTGTGGCCAACGTGCTCCAGTCGCGAGACTGGTAGCCTCCCGTTGCCCACCATGGACAGCCTTGCTTGCCATGTCATTTACGTCAATCGCAGCGTTGGGGAGGCCCGGCTGCTGCGCGCCGTATCTGACGATCTCGCGGCCTCGCCGACTGACGGTTCCCCCGATTGGCAGCACGATCGCGTTCGAGAACTTGTCCAGCCTCTCCTTGACGCTTTTGGCGATGGTTTGTTCCTCCTCCCCCTCTGATTCGTCCCATCGCTTCCCTTGCTGACTCGTGGTGCGCAACGCACAGTTCACGTCTGTCCCACCGGCGCCGCCTGTATGGCTAAGCTGATGCAACTCCACGAAGCCGGCTCCATGATCGATATGACACCCGCCATTGTTCTCCTAGACACACCCCATGACGAATGGATACCCGAATCATATTCCCTACAAAACACCTCTTCCTCCGACCCCAACCTGGTAAACCGCGACGCCGAGATTCACACGCCTGACGAGAACTTGTACGGTTTGGCGCTCCTTCAGAGGCTCATCACCGAAGCCCACCTGCGAAGCATCTCCAAGCTTGTCGTCCCCATCCCCGTCATCAGCTACCCAGAGTCCCGCGAACAAATGACCGACGGCACAGCCGAGCTCTTGTCGACCGCTGCCGGCACTCTAGCCGCTAGCCGTAAGCTCATGAGGAGGTGCTTGGATCTAGGTGCTGTCGACGTGATTGTCGCCCCCCTGGGCCCCAAATGTATCGCAACGCTGGAGATATGCGCTTATAAGGCCCATAGGGATGCTGCTAGGGACCAGCAGGCCATGATGGAGATTACAAAGGGACGGAAGCGGTCCTGGGTCGGCATTAACGACCAGAAGCCATATGCCTATCTTCGAGAGGCAATGGTCTCTGGACTCATGAAGGGCATCTGCCGCCTCTCCTCCGAAGACGACCATATCGCTGGCGCGCACATTGCCGTTTCTTCCGAACGCCAGGCCATCATTACCGAGGCCGTAGGCCGCTGGCATTTCGATGCCCATGAGTTTTCCGACGATGAGCTACTAGTCGCAGCTTTGCAGATGTTCAGACACGCCTTGACCTCACCGGAACTTGAGAAGTGGCGGATACCAGCAGGTGAGTGTGTAGTTGGACACCCCCCGGGAGGTGCTAAGATAATAAGCAACCACCCCCTCTTTGAAAATGCCTGCATCCGTCCAGCCGCTGGAATCTCAATCTGACCAATGAATTTAGACCAACTCATTAGCTTCCTTGTCGCATGCCGGGCTGCATATAATAGCTTTGTTCCCTATCATAATTTCCGTCACGTGGTAGACGTTCTTCAGGCGACATTCAATTTTCTCGTCCATATCGGCTCGTTCCCTCCGTATCCGACCTGGTCTCAACCATCGCCCAAAGTCATCAGGTCGCCAATCGCGGCACTCGTTAGCCCCTACGAAGCATTGACTCTTCTTATCACGGCTATTGGCCACGACGTCGGTCACCCTGGAGTCAACAACGGCTTTCTAACGACATTGAATGCTCCGTTAGCACAGCTCTACAATGACCGGTCCGTTCTGGAGTCCTTTCACTGTGCTGCGTATTCGCAGATCCTTCGCAGATATTGGCCCGCGGTATTCGAAGATAGAAAGATGCGTAGCCTGATGATCAGTTCCATATTGGCGACAGACATGGGCGTTCATTTTGACTACATGAAAAAGTTGGGGACTCTCAAGGAGAAGTTCGAGGTTGACAGTAACATTGACAACTGGAACGGTCGCCAACTTGAAGATGCCAAAGTTCTCGCGTGTGCGCTACTTATCAAGTGCGCGGACATTAGCAACGTGGTAAGTAATATGGACAAATGGTGGAGAACAGCTCAAAAAAAAAAAAAATACATACAACCCTATTATCGGACATTACTAACTTGGTCACAGGCACGTCGTCATTCGACCGCACTGAAATGGATGCACATGCTCTCAGAGGAGTTTTCCCGGCAAGCTTCGATGGAAGACGAGCTTGAAATCAAGTCATCTCTGATGGCAGCACCAAAGAAGGACATTCTTTCCCTCTCCAACGCCCAGCTTGGATTCATGAATATGTTTGCTATACCGCTATTCCAGGGTGTGGCTGAGATAATGCCAGGCATGGAATACACCGTAGGCGAGCTCCATACTAACAAAAAGTTCTTCGAAGAGAAAGTGCAAGAGGAACAGGCCAAAGAATCGCAAATGAGGACGAGGACAAGAAGCTCCACTGTTGAAAATGACAACGAAATGAAGAATATCGAGATTTCGCCCGCACCGAGCCCTTCAACAGCCAAATCCGGCCATGATCCTCACACCCCCGTCGAACATCAGGATGTCAATGGCGTGACTTTTGGCGCCCCTTCATCATTTGACGCTGTCCGAGATTTGACAGAAGCCGACCCATTTTCCTGCCACCGGCCCGACGATCCAATGGAAGGCAGATTGGTGTCTCCAAAACACCGGACAAGCGATACACCGGAGGGTAGCTTATCCACCGGTTACCATGCCGATTGGACTTCGCAGGCTGCGAGCACGGCTACCGGCAAAATGACTCTGTCGCCGAGCACGCAGGGCACCAGCATAGTCAGCAACGAGGTCGGAGATCGAAACCTGGGCGTTCCTGCGTATAACATGTCGCCGCTTAGCCTTAAGGGATCTCCGACATCACCACGCCGGGACCGGGACCGAGACCAAGATCGGGATCGAGACGCCTCTCAAGCGGATGAAGATTCGCCCTTTGGAGGCAGTATCGGTAGGGCTGAAGGCAAGGCACTTAAGAAGAGACCAAGCAGGTTTAGGATGAAGGACTTTCCCTTCTTTAAGAGGAGCAAAGGATCGAGCCCCCCCTTTCCCACCGCGGACACGTCAGGATGAGGAGATGCAAGCTACAGTATAATTCTATTGTAACAAGCTGCCAGCAGCCCTCGAGAGCCACTCTTTAAAAAAGAAAAACAAAGAAAAACAGCAAAAGTCTTTGCGGCAAAGAAGCAATGTGTACCACTACTACGCGAAATGAAAACCCCGCGGCATGGCTATGATTATGGCCCTATGATTTTACGAATGCGATTTGTGCGACTAACAGCCCTTCTTTATGCTGGGTTACGGCCTTTCTCACGGATCGCGGGAAAATCAATTCATTTGGTTCACGGCGTTGGATCCTTCAATTTGGCCATATCTTGCCAGTTCTATGTTGCGTGCTATGACGCTTTCTGAACGGATTTACCGGAAAATAAAGAGGGCTTTCGAAAAGCAAAAAGAAAATGAGAGAAACAAGAAAAAAAAAAAAACCAACCTCATTCAGGTTCAGACCTGGATAGAACACACATATACACATATACCTGTATACCTAACACATTTTATATATACTTGGACTGGAAGGGGAATGGCGATAAGTATATACCCTTGGGATTGGGTGTCGCGGCTTTGACTTTTTTTCCTTGTGTTACACTACTACATTACTCTCATTTACTTTCCTTTTCTTCATTTCCTTTCTTCTCTTTTTTTTCTCTTCTCTTCTCTTTAGGGCTTAGGGTTTATTATGGTGTATTAAGACATGTATGAACTGGAAGGAGAGGATGAGACAATTGGAGAGGGCGTTAAAACGGCTAGGATGCATAGGATACTAGAGAAAGGCTGCAAGGTTCGAGAGGGTAAATGGGCGAGCTCATGGTAACCAGGAAGGCAAAAGACACTGTTTTGTGTTTTTGGAGGCCCCAAAGTGCAACAGGCAGCTCTTGTTTTTGGTGCATAGCCTTTGAGTTGAATACAGGTTACCCCGACGAAAACAAAATAAAGCGGGCATTTCAAGCTGAATTCTTTTACTCTTCCGACGTGCTAGAAGGGTGGTTATTGGTTCTCTTTTGAGTGAAAAGGACGAGGATGTGACTTCCGACTTGTATGCCCTTTGTCTTGTATGGGTGATTCAATATGCCTTGTATGCCGATTCACTTTTAGTCATGGAGACAAGTTTTGCTATTCTTTCTCTTATCATCTTGCATTGTGGCTGCCAAGCAAGTCGCCATTGTTGTTTTTCCTTTCCTTTCCTTTCCCTCCCCCCTTTTCTTTCCCTTTTCCCCTCGGAATAGAGTTTAGTTTTATACCTTAGCAGCTGCTTAGCCTATCACATTTATGCATGCTTTGTTCTTGGCGTGAAGACGGGGACTGAAGTGGAGCAGAAGCGGTATCTCGGGATAACTGTTTGGCATAGCAACGCCCTTTTCTCTGTGTCCAGCCTGTCTGAAAATAGCGGGGGAGGAACAAGAGGGATCTCCGGGTCCGGGGTAAAGCTACTGGCGAATGAAATGTATAAAGAGCGTTTTTATCACATGTGCATTTTGTTTTTTTCTCCTCAAAAAGGGGGAGGGGGCATGGAAAAGAGAGGGGCGGCCGAGGCATCTCTGCTGATGGGCTGTGTACTGTTCTGTGTAAATGTATGTGTGTAAAGCTCGATGGGGGAAGGCTTTTTACAGCTAACAGCCTAGTTGCCTGTCTAGTAGGCACTTGGGCGCCTCTAGAAGGGGTATTTGACTATTAGTTAATAGGCCTAGTAGTAGTTTATCAATGATGGGATGTGATGGTATTCCGCGGGTGGTGTGTTAGTGGTGCTACTTGAACATGGGGGAGGGAGGGCATCTTCGTGGAGAATGCGGGGGGGGATCTTCGACCCTTTTGCGACAGCATCGGATGTATGCGAGTAGAGTGACACTGAGCTGTAAGGCTCATTCCATTATCCATTCTAAATTGAAAGGCGGCGTGAGAAATACATCTAAGACAGGTTCTGTTTTCCTGATAAAAAAATAAAGCGATATATGAATGAATCAGCAGGACCGTGTTCTGCTGCATGTACCACCGTTGTGTGTTGTTGGCACTATTACATGCCAGCCTCATCCGATTTTAACTCGGATCGCCTCCCCGCACCGGCAAAAAACGCCCCATATCCGAAATAGACAGCAGCTGAAAAAAAAAAATCGTGGAGAAACACACAGACAGCCGTTTGCTGTTTGTTAGGGGAAACCAGTACTTCGTTCCTCCTACTACTATTTAATAGCCGCCAATTTCCTTCTGTTCCCCGCCCACCGCATCGGCAATGACGCGTGCGGTTTCGGTCCAAGCTCTTTCTCTCTAGCTGTGTGCTTCTTTTTAAATCGAACTTTAAAAAAAAAAATCCTCCATCTTTTCTCAATCAACTTTTTTGAAAAAGTGCCCACACGCCAAACAATCTCACTCACCCCTTTTGTGATTATTAAACTAAAACCTTCGATCTCGATAAGGCTGTTATGCAGTGGAGCCTTTAGCTCTTTCTACATGCGCGTGTAAGAGAGAGAGAGAGCACGCTTTCTTGTTGAAAATACAAAAGACCCCGAATTGCTCTCGATTGATGCGCCGTATTACCACGCCAGAGGAAAAGGTCAAAAGAAAGAAAATCCATAAAAATCCGTGCCCGTTTTTTTAAACACCTTCATTGGTGTAACGCGAGTGTGCAAGTCAAACTCCGACGGCGTCTTGTTTGCCATCGTCTTACACGTACGACTCTCAAGGTCTATCATGGATCGCTTCATCTTTAAATCGAAATCTGCTTTAAAAAAAGAGTAAAGGCTGACATTATGACAGATAAAATCATCTTCGGCTCATTATCTAATACATCATCCATCTCGCTCATAGCACAGAACTCTTCTATTTCTGCATTGAAAATACTTCTAATCGCTCACCACAACAACAATCGACCATGGCAGAACCACTTATCAAGGCACCTGTGCCAGTCACACTCCCTCCACCGCCACCCACCGACTTCATGACCGCCGATCAATGGGACACTCTTTGGGCTATCCTCGATGGCGTATTGCCGTCGTACGCACCTGCATCCGCCGTCACGGACAAGGACAGGCAAATTGCCATCCCTGACGACGAATTCAATGGCCTTATAGACAAGGTTCGCGGCTCACTGGACGGTGCTCCAAGCAGAGAGGAGATTACAGAGTTTCTCGCTTTCCGGCCGTCTGAGCATCCCCCATTCCGCGAGGACTGCATACGGAACTTGGGCATATCGCCGGCGAGGGCTAAGCTTGCGGGAGTCCTTGGAACACTGGGGTGAGTATCAATCCCTCCTCATTCTATACAGGAACTACATGGAGAGAAGAGAGAGTAAAGGGAAGAAAGGGGCATTATACATATATGGCCTGAACATGAGCAAGGAGAGAGGGAAGCTGACTCTTCTTGTGAAATAAAAGGACACACGCCGGGAGCCTGCTTTTAACAGGCTACTGGAGTCCCATCACCCAACAGCCCGCGAGCACCCGCGAGGCCATCATCAAGTCATGGACCACCTCTCGTTTCGCAACGTTCCGAGGGCTCGCAAAGTCCATGGTCACCCTGGCCGGAAAAGCAAACAGCACCACCAACCCTTTCTTCCAGAAACTCTCGGGATACCCCGACGTCCCCAAAGACTGGAAGCCCGCGGAGGGGTACGACTACGTGTTCCTTCAAGTGCCTCCTGCTGCTGCCGGCAAGGAGGGCGACGCACACGAAATCACCACCGACGTGGTCATTGTCGGTTCTGGCCCCGGGGGCGGCGTCTGCGCGAAGAATCTCGCCGAGGCAGGACACGAGGTCCTCGTCGTCGACAAGGGATACCACTTCCATCCTACTTACCTCCCCATGCCACAGGACGCCGGCCTCCAGTATCTGTTCGACCATAGCGGCGCCTATATGAGCGAGGACTCGAGCATCTCCATGACCGCGGGCAGTTGCTGGGGCGGCGGCGGCACGATCAACTGGAGCGTGTGCTTCAAGCTCCAGGACTACGTACGCAAGGAATGGGCCGATGAGGGCCTCCCACTCTTCACGTCGCCCGAATTTGACGAGTGCATGGACCGTGTGTGGAACTTCATTGGCGCCGGGTCCGAAGCCATCCGCCACAACTTCGGCAACAACACGCTGCTAGATGGATGTAAGAAGCTGGGCTGGCATGCAGGCGCCGCTGATCAGAATACTGCCAACAAGGAGCATTACTGCGGCCATTGCAATTTGGGCTGTGGGATGGGAGAGAAAAGAGGGCCGGCACAGGCCTGGCTGCCTGCTGCCGCCGAAGCTGGTGCCGACTTCATGGAGGGCTTCACTGTCGAAAAAGTGCTCTTTGATGATGATGGAGTGACGGCAATAGGAATCGAAGGTTCGTGGCTTAGTCGAGACAAAGAAGGCGGCCTTCACAAGGACGCCGGAGAGCGTACGCAAAGGAAGGTTATCATCAAGGCGAAGAAAGTCATCGTGTCCGCTGGGACCTTGTGGAGTCCTGTCATCCTGATGAAGAGTGGTGTTCAGGTAAGTCGGTGCCTACTTGGCCGTTCAATATGGCTGATTCTTTCTTACGTTTTATTTCTCTATTTCTTCTCCAAAACCTCCCTGCCTTTCAAAAAAAGGTTTTGAAAAAAAAAGGGGGGGGGTAACATCTTTGCTAACATGAATACATCCCCTATTCTTTTAGAATCCGCAACTTGGACGTAATCTTCATCTCCATCCCGTCAACTGTCTGATGGCAGTGAGTCGACAAGAGATTCGACCTTGGGAAGGTGGCATCATCACAAGCTGGAGCGGTGAATTTGAAAACCTCGATGGCAAAGGGCACGGAGTCAAGTTGGAGCCGTTATGCATGGTGGTAAGTACTATCGGATAGCAGCTCAGCAGAAATCTTTCTGCCGTGGTACTCGTTCTATGATTGGATTCCGCTAACTGCAAGGGGGTTGGCCATATCGTCTAGCCATACATGGCGTTTGCACTACAAAGTTGGAGCAGCGGCCTTGATACCAAGCTCATCACCATGAAGTTCCGGCACGTAAACAATTTCATCTCACTAGCCCGTGATCGAGACAGTGGCCGGGTATTTGTCGACCCCGAGACGGGCGAGCCGCGAATTGAGTACTCACCATCTGATTTCGACCGCGAGAACAATATAGAGGGAATCATTGGCCTCGCCAAGATTGCATACGTCGGTGGTGCGACAGAGATTCGAGCGCACATTTACGGCCTGCCGCCATTTACACCCAATGCCTCCGAGCAAGCAAAACACGTCCAAGGCAAAGATCCCGAGTTCACAGACGCTGCTTTTGGCAAATGGTTACAGCACTTACGCACTCTGGGCAACAAGCCGCCCCTGTCTGCCTTCGGGTCGGCGCACCAGATGGGAACGTGCCGAATGAGCGCCAACAAAGAATCAGGCGTGGTTGATGAGAAGGGAAGCGTCTGGGGGAAGAAGAACCTGTATGTTGCAGACTCTAGCGTGTTCCCAAGCGCGAGTGGTGTCAACCCCATGGTCACGGTCATGTCCATTGCCGACTGGATTTCACGGGGTGTCTCTAAAGAGCTGTAGGGGCAAGATAAGGAGCTCACGCCTTGGCTTGTGACATTCATTGGATGGATTTGGAGAATCTCTGTGTCTTTTCAAGTAGTAAGAACGAAGGTAATTGGATGGAAACGTCTTCCTGTTTCACATTTTGACCTATAGGCATCGAGGTTCAAGCGCTCTCGGCAGACCGGGAACGCATAGGGAAAGGATTCGGGGTGCCGGATTTGATAGCCTGCCTTGCTAAACGAAGAATAGAAAGCCACTCGTACATTTGAGCCAGATCTAGAGTGTGGGTATTGTCTCATTGCATTTACGGAGGCCAGATCGACTTGCTAAGGACCGACTTGTTGAGACCAGACCGACGACCCTGTTGCTTCAACCCAATACACCAGGCACGCCCCAGACGGGCCGGCCCTGGTGGCGCTTGGGCACAAATGAGTCGAGAAGAAGGCCTTATTGCTACCATTGCAGGGTATTGGCCTGCTACTTGGGCATCATCCGGCGTATCAATCCAATCTGTAGGCGTAGCTACGGTAGCAGACCTATTGCAAACGCCCGTCCACATGACTCCTCGGTCACGAGAGCATCGAGCGTCTATCTTCCTTCTTTCTTAACCCTAGGCATATGTAACGTAGAGTTTTACTCTTTCGCCCGGGCCATCGCTTAGGCCTCGTGATTGCTGGGCGGTATGGCGGCCGAAAGAACGGTAACAGCCATGCCAGAGTGGGATGATGAGAATCTGCTCCGACTAACGGCGACGACGTCATAGGATGCCAAGAGTAGAAAAATAAATGAACATGGGTTATCAAAAAATTTAGACGCCGGTTAGAAGGGGCTTAACTGTCACCCTGGCTCGTCAGGTATCGACGCAAGGGGCATTTGGCGAGGCCTGGAAGCTTTTCCTCGTCCCTTTCTCGATACCGAGGCGCTTGCTACAGATCAAAGCATCATCAATTGTAGCTCTATTCCAACCGAGTCACCATTGGCGCGAAATGCAGTGGGACGGTACTTCTGGGCCCGTTTGTGGCGCGTGGATGAGGCTTGGTTGCCTCCCGTGCGGGAATCGTAATTAGGTAATCCGCAGGGCAGCTGGCAGATCTGTGTGGGGTCAGCCACATTTTGCAAGGCAGACACAGCCACGCCCCGAGGTGCGCGACGAGTCTGCCGCGCCACGTTATCGAACAACGGGCATGCCGGGTGGCAGGACATCGACGTCCGGCTAGCAAAAATCATGGGCCGGAGATGCATGAAGACGTCAAGGCCTCAAGGGGCCCATGGATGAGGTTGTGCAGTAGCCCATGACGGTATACCTACTACTGTATGCAGCTCTTTCAGCTGTCCATGGGTTGTTGCATGATTGCCATCCACAGCGGTGTCGGGTCGTTTTCGAGATGCTCGGCAAATGTCTCCGTCCTGTCGCTGCTCGGTTGGGTGGCCGCAAGCACGCACACGATGATACTAGCACAACAGGTGCGTGGTAGAGCTGTAGGATGGGCTTGCAGCACGGGGTACGCGCCCTATGTTGCAGAACGGCTAATGCAGAAAGAATCCTTCTCTATGCGAAGTTATTGCTTCAACTCCGGAATCTTGGCCTGCAGGCCTCGTCTTAGCCACATCTTCCCAGGAGCCAATGCAGATGCTGCGTAGGACGACAAGTTTTTTCCATCCTAGGGACGGAGCATTGTGGTTGGTGGCTCTGGTAGATCGGTGAAGACCCTCGTCTGCGTGGGGTCCGCAAGAGCCACTTCGGGGAAGGGCATTTTGCAGGGTAAGATTTCCCCAGCAATCTGGGACTCGGCTATTCGAGCCAGGACGCCCTGCATACGGCGCGAGTTCATTGTTGTCCATACAGCAGAGCATCAGAAGTTTGTTGGGACGCACGCTCTGATCGCACCGTAGCCAACCTGCACCTACACTCTCAAGCACTGGGGTCAGGCCCATGCATCTGTAGGGAGCCTGCATTTGCCACTGGCGATGCCCCGTCCAGAGGCAGCCTGTGACGTTGAGAGCGAGATAGACGACAAAGCCGGGGAGAAAACATGTTGGCCAAAGCAAGGCTCATGGCTTGTTTTGGGGATGACCACGCTGGCGATAGCTAGCACGGCCATTTAGATGACCAGCTGCGGTGGCAGTCATCAGCCTCGCTACCTAGCTGCTTTGCTGTCCCGCGTATGTTGTACCCTTACAGGTAGTGATACCACCCAGCGTTGCTGTTGTCCATGTGCAAAGGGTCCACTGAAGACTCCAAGTAGGTTGTAATGGTGGTGAATGCCTGTTGTCTCGATGCGTTGAGCACAGCGCGCTCCTGTCATCCGATGAGTACATGTACGTTGCCTTGTTTTTTGGAGGGGCGCCCACCGCATACTCCTCCAAAGTTGTGACTCTGTAGCCTCGCCTCACTTAGATAATCGTAGTCTACTGGCTGGCGAGGCCGCGGTGGATAGAGGTGAGCATCGTCACCTGCGGCCACATAACTAACCGCCTGCAGCGCTGTCGCGGCCCTGCAGCCGGCCCTCTGATGAAACTGCTTGTAGCGACGCGTGCCTAACGGCCGACATTGGCTGCCTCAAATGACGTGTTCCATGGCTATCACACAGCGGCGAGAAGAAGACGAGAAATTCGTTAATCGCCCTGTCCATTCTTCGTTGTCATGTTCGTTGTTTCCTCTAGGGTGAGCGTGGCCACGAAACAGGGCTGTAGGAAGAGTACAAGGGTACTTCGCACCGCCCAAGACAAAGCCGGAGCATTTTAGTTGGCGACAAGCACCCACATGGAATTATAGGCTATTTTTGGTAACGCCTGCTACTGGCCACTAGTGGCAGGTACGAGTACGGAGCAGCTGCAGCTACGACTGATGCTGCCTCTGCAGTGTTACGGCATAATGATCGTTCTTGCCTGGCCTGGCAAGGTTTTGCCCTCTCCCTCCCGTATCTTGGCCTTATACGAGCACACCCAGATGGAGGTCGAAGGAGGTGCTGAAGCAATTCGCACTTGCTCATTGTGTGCCCGTTTTATAGGTACAGAGTAGGCCTTTTTATGGGCCGATGGCTGCCGATTTGGCTCCGTCAGCCCAATCGGCCAAGGGCTCATGTACCGGTACATGCCCCTTCCCAAGAGCTCGTGTGTGGCTGGTGGCTTGCCCGGCAACTTTCGTATTCCAGCCACGCCTGTCCATCTGTGTCTGGTCAGATTCGTTTCGTTGCACAGGTTCACACACGATGAGCCCGAACATGGCCCGTGAGACGGTGGCGGGCGCGCGAGAAGTGGTAAGCTTGGCCGGCCGTCTACGAAACAATCCCGATGGCAAAAGGTGAGGGAGTCCATCAGAGCATCTCAATGGCGCTCATTGGCAGTGTTGTCTTGCGGGCGGACCTCAGGACCTCAAGGGGCCACCTCCATCGACCCCCGCGTCGCACAACGGCCGGATGAGATGGTCCCATTCTCGATGGTCGAGCCAGTGGCCAGTGGACAGAATCAGGCGCTGCAGGGTCCCAAGGTGCTAGAGCAGGAGCCGTCGCCTCTTGTTTCTGGTGGACGGATATCCGGGAAAAAGACCCTTTCGCAGCGAATACAGATGGCAGATCAGGGAATGCTCAAGTGCCGCGAGTGCGTCGCATGAGCCGTTGCCGTGGGAGAGAAGCTTTGTCACTTATCAATCTCCGCCGCCCAGGACTTGAGAGAGACGAAACACGAAAAAAGAGGGCTCGCTAGCCAGCTTGACCTACACAAACCTTTGGTCTCCTAGCCCATTTTCGCTTTTGAGACTGCGCTCGCACAGTTTCTGAGAAAATCTGGCCATCGGCCGTGATTGGCCAGATGCAATCGCTCAAGGAGCCAATCAGCATCGACCCCATCGGCCGCTTTTGGCTTCTCCACCCTGGCAACCAAGGTCTCTGGCCAATCAGAGGCTCTAGAGGCTCTTTTCAACCGACACACCTCAGCTCGCCGACTGCCACTAACACAGTCCAGATGTAGGCGACGCTCCTTGGCCTGTGAGGATTCGCACACAATCATCTCCTTCGTCTAGAAAGAATCCCCCTTTTTGGAGGGTCTTTTGAGATTCACGACTCCTAGAAGTGACCCGCCGTCTCGGGACGCTCCGGGGGCCCCTTGGACTGTCTCGACGGCCATTGCCCAACCATTGATCAGGACTTACATGTCTGCATCGATTAGGACGGTTTCAATACCACAAGATGCCTTCCAAGCCAGGGGAATCACCCGGCCCTAACGGAGACGGGCGACGGCTTCTCCCTAGACGGTATCCATCCTCATCAAATGGTTCTATTGCTCTCCTGGCAGCTCGTTAAAAGGAGTCGGGGCTGGCCAAGGGCGCTGGGTCTCGGACGATGCGGAGCATTCGAGACGATTCACGGGACTTGAACTGCTGCCAAATCACTTGTCGACAAAGGAAAGGCCGTGGCCGATCCTGAAGAGCACGCCTTTTGAGTGCGGGGACACGGCCAGTACATATGCCACGGCGCCTATAGGTTCCTCTTCTGACTCTTTTTTTCCCTTCCCTCGGTCCACAGTACATATCTAGAACCACGCAAGCGAGGAGACTACAATTGGTATGGCTCGGGCGGCGGCACATTCCACCCGCAAAGTCCGCACAATTCAAGCTTGCACTGTGGAAGTGGAGGACGGGGGGAAAAAAAAGAAAGAGTCATGACACTGGAACAATTTTCGCTGCTGGAAGGTCTCCTCACTTACACCCAAGTATGTATGGGGCAAGGTGCGTCGGCGCATGGCGCGGCGTTGGCATGCAAGTCATTACAGCAGATCCAACATAAACAAGGGCTTCTTCTGCATTTCATTGACCAGACGACGAGATGAGATGGTCGAGAGTAATTTCGCCCATTCGACATCAATTTCCTTGTTTGGTTTCAGCTCGTTGCTAGTTGCCTATGCTGACCACTGTCCCAGCCGAGCTAGGAGCTCAGTAAGATGACTCTGGGGGCGCTTTTGGTCCCCGAGCTGGCGGCAGGTGCCAATATTTTCTTTACTTCTTTTTCTTCTTCTACTTCACTATTGTTCATAGGCAAATCCTGTGTGCGGAGGCGCGCACGGGGGGTCGCTGCATCCTGCATAAGCGGCGCAGCCCTCTTGCTTGAAAGTGTCGATAATGGCCCTATCGTGCATTCTTGCATCCATGCTGCTCTGTTGATTAAGTCTACAGCTTTGACCTGCTTCCCCTCTTCCTTGTGATGTGGATCAAATAGCGCAAATGCTCTTCAAGAGATATGAACTCTAAGTACGAGCAGTGGGCAGCGAAGCGAGCAAGATGAGGGTAGCTCTACAGAGCTTGCATATATAGCTGTCGGTTCACGAGGTGGACACATATGGGGCAAGCCACGGTTGACAGCTTTAGACACGAAACAGGGTGCTTACGAGGCGATATAGCATAAACCGGTTGATGAAGCTCTTTTGCAATGTGTATTATACGAGGAATATGGGGATGTGGTGGGAGCGCAGCGACTGTCAACTAACGCGGCGGCAGACAGCCGATCATTCACGACGGTTACGGCACTTGTTCTTTTTAAACGAGAAAACGCTAAAGGACACGCATGTTTCAAGCCTGATGCCTTGGTCACCCACTCTTGATCGTTGCGGCTATCCACCATCTGCATATATGCCTACTACATACCATACTACACGGGGTAGGCATGGCATATGTTGCCGCAACCACTCCTGCTGCTACCCACCAGCACCATGTCTGCTACCCAGCAGAAGTGTGTACCGCGCACGGGGCATCGTGCATTATGGGCAGATATTTCGCTCAGCGCCAAGCGCCTACTGATACTGGACCCTGCCTCGACGATGGCTTGATCTCGTGATATGATCTCTGGCATCATGCTGCCCACCAATGATGTCGATGTGCATATTCCCCTCCAAACAGAAAAGGTTGGCGTCTCACCGGGAGGTGTCACTTGCGCAGAGGCAAAAAGACAAAGATGCAAGAATATTCCAAAAAAGAGAGGCCGTATGACACGATGGACGCCGCAAAGGCTAAAGGCAGCCCAGAGACCAGCCCTTGGCTTCTCTGGTGGCACCTCAGCCCACGATACGTAGCAGTCGAAAGTCCCGGTACTTGATGGAAGACGGTGTGTGGCGCGGGTGCTGCAGGTCTTTTTCAGCTCCACCGGCGCCTGCAGGACTACCCATTTTGGGAGCCATGCGTCCTCTGCCCACCCCCAATTCATGCGCACCCCCTTTTAGAGAGGTCTCGGGACAGAATTCTACACAGCCCAGACCATGCTTGGATGAATTTCTCTGCTCTTCCATCTTCCATCTGGTCCACACAAGCACTGCGACAGCGAGCATTTCCGAGAGCGGCAGCACTGGCAGCGGTAGTTGCAGAGAGGCAGTGAAACAAGTGGAGCGGCCATGACAGAGTTGCAAGGTAAGCTGGCCATGTTGAGTGCCTTACAGTATTGGTTGTAGCTAGCACTCACTCGTGCTCTGAAGCAATAGCAATACCTTGGAATGCTACCTGCTGCCCGGCATCTACCAAGACACTGGAGGTGTTACGTGGAGACTGGAAAGAAAGCCTGAAAATAGCTGCCCTTGGTAGCACCACTACGCAATACTTCGTATGTCGGTGCTTCGGTTGTAGCACTCGCATGAGTAGTACAAGGCGGCATGCCCCGTTCCCAGCAGCAGCACGAGGTTCACCTGTTCCGGCAGGTACCCAGCAGCCATCTGTTGGCGGCCGCTGTTCCATACTAAGATGCGGCCTGGGACGCACCGGCCGACGCCTCTCAGCGGCGTCTATCCAACCTCGGGCTCTGTGCCCCCGTGTTGATGGTATCGCCGATTACAGATTGCAGATTACAGGCCGTAGGGAGTAGACTGCGTGCTGCAGCGCATCCAGTGCATGCGGATTCCAATGAAATGACATACCACGCCATACGAGCAACAACCACCAAAGGTAAAAAAAAGAGGCGTATCGTACAAGTGTCCTTGATCACGGAGTGCACGGGAGGGTGGCCTTGGGTACTCCCTACTCGTCTGCGTCATACTGAGATGCAGCCCCGACCAAGTAGGGAGTACCTCCGGACCGCCGCTGCGCCGGCCAGGCCCATACCATACCATGATGCCTCGCTCTCGCCTCTGGCCGGGCCCAAGACGCACGCCTCAGGGGAGGGGTGTGCGTGCGAGCGTGTGGAAAGCGCCCGATATTGAAAAAACAAAACAAAAAAACGCCAGAGAGCGGGTACAGATGCAGATGCAGATGCAGCAGGGCAGTCATGCCTGGCTCTGCTGCAGCTACCTGCTAGCCCCAAGCACTACCTGAATTAACGTTAGCCGTCTGGCGGGTGGTATTTATTCCAGCGGCGCGCCCACAGCACCAACAGGCCACTGACTGCACTGACTGCAACCGCCTACCGCCGCTAACCCTCAGCGCCCCCCCCCAGCGCTTGACCACCAAACTTATATCTCCCCGCTCACACCCACCTCTTCTGCTGCTGCCTCTCCCTCCTCCTTCACGATTCCCTCGTCCGCCATTCTCTTCTCCTCTGCCTTGGATTCGGCCGCTCAGCAGGTGATTCAGTCAGCTTGTCTACATTGCGCCACTCCCTGCTCGACACCGTCTCCGGGTTTCTTTTCTTTTTCACCTTTTGCTCCGCGTATTGTTTGTGTGTCATTCGTCCTCCCTCCGTTGCCTCTACTCTCCGCCACCACCTTCCATCGCCGCTTCTTCCTCTTGAGATAAAGATAGAAGAAAAAGGGACAAGATCCCCTCTCAAATCTCGACGACGCTTGTGTTTCTCCAACTGTGCAGCCTACAACAGCCGCGTGGCATCTTGTTTGTCTGACGCAACTCACTAATACCATCCTCATACGACAATATGCCGGTCCAACTCCTACCGGCTTCAGCCGCTGCCTTTGCCCCCAGGGCTTCATCTGTCAACGTCGTCCTGGGCTCAAGGGTTGAGCCATGGCTTACACAGACACTGAAGCGCGTTAACCGGGTCAAGCGTCCTCTCAACAGCATCCCTCAGCACCACCGATGTCTTACCGAGACTCTGTCATCGCCAAATGCCATCTGGACCCTTGCCTCGTTGATGTTCCCCAAGCTGCCCCAAGCCGAGATGCCAGAAGACCCTACAGAGAACCTCTTCAGCCATCAGCTCATTCACATCGAGGCTTACATCGTTCACGTCGACATGGTCCTGCGCAACGAGGTTGCCTACAAGCTCACCGTCGAAACCATTGACGCCCTCGTCGAGTACCACAAGGACATTTACTGCGTTGATGCCAAGGCGAACACCTACGACTGGTCTGAGAAGGAGCAGCAGTGCAAGAAGCTGCATGAAGACTTTGTGCAGGCCGTCAACAAGTTTGTTTTCCGCACACATGTCTCTGCTCTGGAAGGCCTCGAGGAGGAGGGTGCTGGCGAGCTGCTCAACGGAAAGAGCGAGGAGGTCAAGACGAGCCTCATGAACTTGATGAAGCCGCTTCTGCCTCCTCCGCCTCGTGTTGTCGAAGTCATTCGACAGCCGCCTTTGCTGCCCAGCTCTCCTCTCGCCAACATGTGGACACAGGCTGGCCCTCCTCACATCATCCCTGCTGCCGTTGAACCTTGGCAAGTGTTGCCTTCAAGCCCCAGCGTTACTTCATCTGTCGACTCGGTCAACACTCCCATATGGGCCAACATGGGCATGAGCGATGTCCAGTTGCCTTCTCCCACGCCTTCATTTAGCTACCCGCATACCACCGCCGAGCTTTTCTTCAGCCCGCCAATCATGGCACCCATTCCAGCTCTCCCTCTTCCGAGCGTCTATGCGTCGTCACAATGCGGTGTCAGCGTCGGCATGGGCATGGGTGGCTTTGGCTGGGATCGCTATCAGGAGTACGCTACGACAATGTGAAGGCACATTTCTGCTATGCTGGCTTCTTCAAATACTGTCCCGGTCACCAGCTCGTGGTCTTGGGCCACCTCCCCCTTTCTCTCTGGGGAAAACAGCAAACAAGTCTTTTATCTTCTCAGCGGCATAGACATATTGTCAGGGCATATAGGCGTTTTGTTGCATCAGGAACGGAGTTCGAATACCTCAACCAAATATTCTTGCTAGGAAATACCCTTAATCATTTCCTCTTTTTTCTTCTTCTATTTCTTTTCTCTTTATCCTTTCTTGTCTTGGTTCTTTTTCTTTCCTCCCTTTTCCGTTTTGCTATCGGCGACACAGCAAGCGTGCACTTGGTTTCGAATCTAGTTCCTCGTTCAAGATCCAGGGAATATCATCATCTGTCGCATCAGAGCCGCTAGCTCGGCATTTCTTTTTGGGTTAACTTGTTATTTTGTTCACATTATACCACCAACATGGCTGTATCCGAGGCTGGCAATCTGGATGCTTACCTTTTTCTTCAACGGACGGGGACTCTTTTCTTCGACAGTCACCAACGGCTTGCGACATTCTTTTCTCCTTTTTCCTTATTCTTGTTTTTCTGGTACCATTGGGTTAAAGATAAGAGGCAAACTGCAGCAATGCACAACAATCGGCTCGGCCCGAAACCTCCATTGGATTTGAATCCTACACCTTTCGCTTCTCGTCTATTCTTTTGTCTCTCTTGAGGGACATTCAGAAGCAGACTTTCTTTTTTCTTTGGAAGATATTCCCTCAATGTGGTGCCTGACTATGATACTTCAGGTCACTGCGTGGAGTCTTTCCTTAATCCTGTCTTGCGTAATGATGCTTCACGAATATTTGACGACGATACGAATGAGTTATGAATAGACCTTTTGGGTATGCGATACGACTTCTTGAATGTTTAGAAAGCCTATCAAGTACTCTTACGACGCAACCAGTTTATTCAGCTCAACTTTTCTTGTTTCCAGCATTTGACAAACCGGATCTGAACTGGATTTCAGACCAATACTGTCTCTTGGAACACGACGTCATGCTAGCAAAATCAAATCATTGCGCAATTGTGATCATGGTGCTGAGATATCCGGTATATTTTAGCCCATACAGACACTGGCTGTCGACAGGGGTGTGCACGCCCGGCGGCGAGTCCGCGCGGGCTGTTGATGAATGGAAAGATGATATTAGGGGTAGGCTTCACGCCTTATCTCTGCTGCGCAGTGATAAGTGTATACAGGTAGCCCCTACTTCCATTACATTGTTTGGCCAAAGCTTTTTTCTTTATTAGCCAGGCATCTCAAGTACCCAGAGGGGGTACTCTCATACGGCACGCCGCGGAGCCCAGCTAAATTGGACATCTCAGCAAGGCCACTATTATGGCCAAACTGAAGTCACAGAGGCTGTCGCGGGTCGAGGAGTGGTACCCCCTTAAGACTGCCTGGCGAGACTGAGGCGAAATGATTTTGTAGCTCATCTCTCTACGCCAACACTCCCGCTATGAGTCGCCTTCTCAGTTAGACTGGATCTATCTGAGGTGGGCACTGGAAGCGGTTGTGGCGCGATACCAAGTGAGCGAGGTTAGAGGCTGTCAAACAACGCTGTGCTTTGTTTGACATGACCTGATTCGCTCCAGGGCTCTCCCGCTGGAACGGGAGGGCGCTTGGTATATGCATTTTTAGAGATGCTGGATAAAAAAACAAAAACAAAAACTCAAAGTGTGCGAGAGAAAATATTATGAAAAAAAGGGAAAACCGCCGAAAAAAAAAACTTATTAACAAATGGGAAAAAGATTGGCTCTTCACCCTGGCGGTGGGGATGCTTTGCACGCAAGTATGAAGCGCACTGCTGGAAAAGGGTCCCTGTTCATTCTCTTGTTGTTGGTAGTACTACTAGGTAGTTAATTGAAACATAAAATGAAAAAAGCCTTGACTGTCACATATCTCTCATACGTTTGTGAAAAATCAGTAGATCACAAGATACATGCATTGTTCACCACTTATAAAGCTCTCATTGCTGTATGACCAAGCCTGGTATATGGGAAGCAGCGTTCTGGACCAACAAATGAATACCACTTTACAGATTGATACTATTATGGAGTTTTATTTTCGTTTTAGCACTGAACATGTCATTTTCATATGCCTTTTTTTGTCTTATAATGTATATGATTTCGAAATCTTATGGCAAGTTACTCGTTACTCTCATTTATTTATTTTTTACTATCTATGGATATACCATTGGTTCCTGGTTTGACAACCATAATCCGTCTATTTAACAAGCTTTTCTGTCTTTTCCTGAATGGACGCGCCCAAGGCAGCATCCACTCGCGAGAACATCTCATATGTTCTAGTACGGGTATCTTGGTGGGCTGCCGCTAGATGGCCAGAGACGTTTGAGACAAAGTTTTCTTGCTGGCCAGGGGTTCGGCCGAGCACATCCCAAAGTCCCTTTGCTTGGACGAAGTCATCGTCAT